TTTTAAAATACAGACTTGGGTTATGATCAATTTTGTTTTATTGATATAAAGCTTTATATGACATAATGACATAAGCTTGCTTCTGTACAACATTACTCCCAAAGCTATGTTTGCCTGCCTACCTAGCCAAACAAAAAAAAAAATCATTTTCAGACAGATGAGGCTGCTCTTTCGTACAGCTAGGTTGTCTCATCACACGAACATTAATGCAAGCAGAAAAAGGGAAGTGGGAATGCTCCCCTGGGGTTGGGAAGAGAGGAGAGACCAGACCAGCTGTTTTCAACAGCTGTGTGAATTTAGATTTGACTTGAGTCAGCTGTGAAACAGCACCTGAACAATGCCTTTGAGTCTCAGAAAGACAACAGACAAATACATCTGGCATAGTAACTTGGATCATGGAAACTAGCCTTCGCTAAGCTCTTACTGCTGGGAGAAACTCAGTTTTACACAGCATATCTGAGAGATACACAAATCACGGGATGTCATCTGTTATTTAGTGAGGGTGACATGTCTATCTCCACATTCCAGCTAAACTCTACAGGAAATATTGTATATTTGCTTTCATGTCATTTGTGATCTTACTGAGACAGTATCCTCCTTCAGTGGCGTTAGAATAAAACAGAAGTGGGTTACCTCAGTGGTGGATTCTCCTTTTCTTGAGTTTTATAACTTATTTACAATTGATGCTGCAGCAATATGGTGTGGACTCCGTATTCCTACCATTTTGCCAAGTCAATACTACTCTGGCGCTTATTATAGCAAATCCTGACTTGCTGTGTTTGGAATCAACAAAAAACTCTGAGCTCACACTTATTATAGCAAATCCTGACTTGCTGTGTTTGGAGAACAACTCTGGAATCAACAAAAAACTCGGAGCTCACATGACTACTGCTACATCATAAATAAAAAGTATCACCTTTGGAATTTTTTACTGTAAGTATTTATAATCAATACTAGGCATCTTTAAAGACACTGAATTTGGTTTTCCATTTTTTTAATTTGTGACAGCTTAAGAGGAACTGACAATGCGATTTCAGCAGCCAAGCAAGAGTTAATTACCTTTACCACCTAGATCCAGTCTATCTATCCAACCTGGACAAAGCTGAACTACTGTTGTGTAAAACACACTGAATTTGGTTTTCCATTTTTTTAATTTGTGGCAGCTTAAGAGGAACTGACAATGTGATTTCAGCAGCCAAGCAAGAGTTAAATTACCTTTACCACCTAGATCCAGTCTGTCTATCCAACCTGGACAAAGCTGAACTGCTGTTGTGTAAAACGCAGGGGCATCTGTCCTGACAGAGGAAGACCAGTGTTCCCCAAGCTCCAAAGCAGCTCTTGTCTGAAAGCTCTTTAGCCACATATATTCTGCCTCCCACCATCCTTTTACCATCTTTTGTTGTCATTTTACCATTGTCATGTGGGCTTGAAGAAATATAATACTTTTCTTTAAGAGATCAATTCACCTTTTCCATGTGTAAACGGATCATGAAAAAAAGAAAAGTCACGGGAGTCCTCTTAGAATAAAATACCTTAGCGCTCCAAAATTCTGGATCCTTAATTTCCATGTGAAAATGGTTAACTTCTACCAAGCGGCTCTAGAATTGCAGGCTACTTTCTGTCACAGTAATTAATGGGTCCCTACACTGCCATGTCTGTGCATTTAGTGATCTGCAAAGTATTAACATGATAATGACAGCAGCCTGGGATAGCACCACTTGGATACAATCAACGGGTGGCATGCAGCTAGAATCAATACTAGAAGTTGTGTGAAGTTAATTTATATTCACAGGTCAAGCTCAAACCTGCATGGGCCCCAGCACTTACTAAAGCCAGTGTTTCTAAGAACAAGTTAAAACTAGTAACAAGACACTTCATAAACATGACAGTAACAGTGCAAGCATACTTCACTGGTTTTAACACAGATGTGAAACTACCGCCTTAAACCATCAGCCAGAGATACTGCAGCAAGTCCCACTTTTCCCCTGTTGCAGGAATGAATAGCTGAGGATAGGGGAGTGCAAGCCTTGTTTTTTCTAGAGCTAAATCTGTCTTTTTGTTTCTTATACGTGCGTAAAGCATAATCTCAGCAATGATTTCTGCACCACCACCACCACCAAGCGCTCCTGCTTCTTGTAACCTCAACCAACCCTTTCCATTGTCCCTCTTTTACCTTGTGTATTAATTCTGTGGCAACCTGATCTAGCTGGAAAACATTAATTTTATTACTGTCAAATTAGCTTTCTTCATATCAGTTTTTTGCAGTGGTGCAAATTTGCACTGTCTGAGAGCATGCATGGTTTCAGTACAGCAGGACACATAGGTAATACCTTGTGTTTTCATGGCCTTTCTCCACCGGGTTGAGCAGCTGAATTCCACTTTTTATTGTTTCACCCCTTTCCCTGTTTGCCTATGTACTCCCTTATTTTAAAGCATGACATCAGTCACAAAGATGATTCAGGATGCCATACTAAAAACATAAATAAATAAAATTGAAATGTGTTTTTGCTTGAGCTGAGAGCCTGAGCTCATTTTCATCTTCTATGTGTTCCATATGCTCTAATTAATTTCTTTGCAGATGTGCAGCATTAGGCTTCATAGCCAGATGTATTCTCTGTCAGGGAAAAAAAACCCAACCTGCTCACACTGCAGCCTGTCACCACTTCTCTGATGTATCCATAAAAGGCACCTGCAGAAACAGTCAGGCTCTTCAAATCATATGCAATGGGGTTGTTACTCTCTCCTCTGCCTGAAGAAAGTATGAAAAACTGAAAGACAACAATCAATACTGTTACAACAAGCAGAAATTTCACTCTGCCAATAATATCACTGCGGCAGTTACAGAGACTCATCTATTACTTAAAGAACAAAGACAGGATTTCTAATTCATGCTAATATTTCTTTGCCTATAACACAGTGATTCACTTTTCAACACAGAATTCTCAAAGCAGCTTCTAATGGGAAAACTGATGCAGCAATACAAAGCATCTTATGCAAGGCTACATGACAATTCAGTGACAAAATAAAGATAAACCCTACCTCCCCATCCCTGAAGCCCACTTTTCCTACACCATTACTTATCTAATATCAATGCACTTTTCTTACTGTAGAGCTTAGGGTCTACAACTAGAGAAGAAGCAGTTTACATTCATTTATCTTCTCTGTTCAAATGTAAACTAAAGGCACAAAACCTGCTTTTTCTATAAACTGCACAGATTTACATTTAGGCAAGAGCTAAGTAGTGAAATTCCACTGAGTCTGACGCTCAGTCCTTGAATTCAGCAAATAAAATATCAGCAACTTTTAAAACCAGAATTTAATTCCGCTGATCCTCCAAGCTCTTGTTATAAAAGTTACGTAAATTTCGTGTGGTCATTTACTTTTATTGGAGCTCTGCTTCTCAGAAGCTAAAATGATAATCCAACACACTGACGCAAGTCATTTTATGTTCAGTGTTTGTTTTAAAGATCATTAATGGAACCAATCTAAAATGCAAATTTTAGCTGTCTGAAGCCGACATTTTTCAATGTGAACCAGTTTGGTTGCCTAACATTAAAGGCATTTTGAGAAAGGTGATTTTTGTGGTTAAATTGGGAGTGCCTGACTGAAGGAAAAAAAAAAAAAAAAAAAAAAAAAAAAATCACACACTTTAGGTCTGTTGTCCCCTGTTGAGACTTCCTGTATGGCAGGGCCTGTTCAAGCTGCTTAAGCCACGACTCCTCAGGTGAGGGCGCCTGCAGGACTGGAGCTGTGCCGTTACAACAGAGGCATCTTTTTTCATTTTTAGGCTGCAAATAAATAAATGCCTCTTACGTGTAGTTGACTACGGTGATTTTCATCCAGACTGGATTGCAGAAGCAACAACATGTAAAGGTACATACCGTATACCTGTAAAACTCAGTGATGCTCAGCAAGAGCGTCTTCGCCGTTTTGCATATGGTATGTTTGGATACTAAGCTAATTTTGACATTAACAACTTCCTATTTTAAGCTTAAAAGCCCCTCCGTGAAACGAGGCAGCCTGCGCCACGCAGTTTCCTCAGCTACCTGCAGCTGGGGCTTCTTCGCGCTTCCTTCACAAGCTGCGCTTGCTTTTCGTGCCAGCCCTGGCGCTGGTTTGGGGTTCTTCACCCCCACAGAGCGACCTGGCTTACATGCGCTACTCTTCCCAGGGCACACCCGCACCGCTCCCCCCGCCGCCGCGGCGCAGGCC